TTGTTGTTTTCCAAAATCTTCCCAGCATTTATCAATTTTATGTCGTTGGCTCCTTTTGGTGCAATTTTTTTATCTAAGACCACAACACTTTAATTTTAGAGAACGGAAAATGATAAGCAGAATCAAGTTAAGAAGCGCAAGAAAATAATAAAATTAAGATAAAAAAGGCCACATAAGACAATAGGACAGTGAAAGCCATAATTAATGTAGCAGAATTAGGAACGCCTTTACATCATACAGATATGCATGCAGTAGTTTCAATTCAAAAAGATTTGCACATAGTATGATATCACACATATTGTTTAAAAACACAATATTTTATAGATTTGTCCTTGTTGATGTGGTGTAGGCAGTGACTGAGGACATAGTCTAAATAGATCCTTGATCCCAACTCCTATAATTATCATAAAAGAAACACTGCCTTCATAAGCATGAAGACCAAGAGAAGTTACACAATGCAGACACTGTCTATCAGACTAATGATTCAGCCCCAACAGATGTCATGTAAAAAATAATCCTATAAAAATAGTTTTTCACAAGCACCATAATCTGGGTCCACCAATTAGAAGTGGTGTTTTACAGCTCAAATACCCCCTACTTTAACTATACTTCTACTAGGTCCTTCTGTGCAACCAGATAGCACATCTAGATCACAGCTCAGATTCTTGGAATGTTTACCAAGGTTACCAACCACATAACTATTTAAGAATGTTAGCCTACTTGTCAAAAAAGAAAACACATTGGTCCACAAGAAACAAAAAATCAGCTTTACAATACTCATTTCCTATTCTTCAGACAATGGTATTTATGTGACCATTAAGCTTTCTCAACCATATGCAAACTCTCACTTCCCACACACCTCAAACATCAAGCAAGTGGAACTTTGTTAGCCGAATTCCAAAGCTTGAACATAGATTTTCCATGTTGAATATGAATACTTAATTTAAATAAATTCTATACACCAGAACTACACAAATATGCAACAACTGAAACAAAGTTCAAATCGGAAACAACAGCAAAAACTGGGTTCAAAGTAGAAATTATAATCTTCTATCTCAACATGAGAACATGTTAAGATTCATACTGTGGGAGTTGGTTGCTTGGAGTCAGGGAACAAGATTGAAACAAGATTGGTTTTTTATAAATTCCAAACCCCCTTCCCCCACCAAATGAGAAACGCAGCATGAGAATGTAAAATCCAACAGATGCATCAACAAGAGCTATCCAAATGAAATTTGTGCACGCTGTTTTTATTGATAAAGAGGGCAAATTCGACAAACATTACATCCATCAAAGTGGCATCCCTCTATTAACAGAGTATGTCCGGAGTCGGAAAAAAAAAATTAAAAAAAAATTTGCAAAATCATCACATGCGAAGTGGAAGTCTCTGACCTTTCGGCCACTCAGCCACGATTCTCTCCTTGAGCATTGCCACCGTGGATGCGGGTGAGTATCGGAACGGACCAATATCCGATCCGTCATAGAGACGGAACTTAAGTTCAACCAGGTCCTCCTCCGGCATTGGAGAGTTGAAACCTTACGCCAATTGAACCAGTCAACCAAACGTTTCCCCAGAACCTTTCTTCAGGCAAAGAAATCCCACAACACCTCTTCCCCAGTCAAAAACTCTGTTTGGCTCCTGACCACCAAAAGAAAATTTACCACAATTCAATTCGTTATCCCAAATAATTAGCTATTTTGTTCACTGCATTGCCTCCCGATGATTTTTCATTTACAGGAAGAAAGAAAAATAAAAAGTTGTCGGACATAATTCATAAACAAATAAAGAAGATAAAAGCGCGTATAAATTAAAAGTACGACGAAATAAGCCGCAATTTTTGGAGTAATAATAAAACATACCGGAGAGAAGATAGGGATTGAGCAAAACGAGAAGAAACCCTAGACCTGATCTTGCCTCTTTCAGCAATTCTTAAGACAGAAATAGACAATTTTAAATTACATACGATGATGCTTTTGATTCAGAAGCAATCGCTTTCTTTTTCTAATTTTCTTGGGACGAAGAGAGAAAAAGTGAGATTTCGATTTCGAATCGTGTCAGTAAATAGTATAGACTGGAGAGAGAGAGAGAGAGAGAGAGAGCGATAAATGATATCTGTGTGGTTTTTTTTGTCAGTAAAATTGACCATGTAAGAAGAAGAGAATCTGGATCCTCTATACCATGGGATACTTGTACTTGAAATTTGTAGGCAATGGGAAGAGTATCATTAGGGTTGGCTGTTAGGTGGCGCAGAGTGATTGGGTCGTGTAGAGTAGGAAATTGGAGTAGCAAGGGTGCCTCTCTTTCTGTGTCGTTCACATTGACCAGAATTTAGAAGGAGATCTTAACGCGTGGGTGAAACACGGAGACCGTGATAAATGCTTTGATTAAAATCAGATAGATGCCATTGCCGTTGCCGTTTGCCATGCCACGCAAATTTAGCTGCGCACCGGTCAAGTTCACACCATTGCCAATTGCTAAGCTACTTCTCTCACACCGTATACACGACAGTTTTTATGGACTTCTACAAAAATTAATATATGCAACCAATTTATATGTATCTATCAAAAACCAAAAAATAAAGGAACATTTTAGAAAAAGCAAAAGGAGAGAGAAAAAATTTAAAAGAAGCAAAAATGGACAAAAATGCCCTTATTTATTTTTAGATTTCCTAAGGAATCCAATACATTTGCATTTCTTTGATTTGAAAGTTGAGTGACTTTTTTGTCTTTTTTGAAAAAGCTTTGGCTTTTTCTAAAAGTGAAATTTTTTTTATGTCTAAAACCTAAAAAACCTAAAAATCAATTTATATATGTATGGGTTTTTTGGATATTCAAATATATGAGTACTTAAAAGAGTTATTTATATTAACACTCCTGAAGGTTGATGGTTTTTCACAAAATTCTTTGAGGTTTTAAAAATTACACGACCACCCCCTGAGATTTAAGATTGTTTTCACAAAATTCTTTTTCGTTAATTGTTCCTCTAACTATTGATGATTTTATTGAAAAAAACCTTACTCAAATGACAAAATTAACCTCAATGAATGTATATGCAATTTAATTTTAAAGACTAACTTTGTCATTTGGATATTTTCATTTTTATAATTCTTGGAAGAAAAATCAACGAAAATGGGTTTTGTGAAAACAATTTAAAAACTCAGGGAGTGTTTGTATAGTTTCTAAAATCTCATGAGATTGTGTGAAAAACTCAAAAACCTCAAGGGATGTTAGTGTAAATAAATTACATATTGGTGAAAAGAAAATTAAAATAGGTTTGTATAATAATGAAAATTCATATTCCTCTTTGGTTTGTTTGTATTATAATTTTGTAAAGGTTAATTGAAAAAAATGGAATAGCTTGGGCCGGCAAGTCTTATACAGAAGCTATATATAACCAGGCCAGGCCCTCAGGAAAGTAGTGTGAGTTGACTTGGCCCACAAATATTTTGGGCTTAACGCCGGCTAAGTAGCAAGCAAGCAACCATGCATAATCTTGATTTATTTACAACATCTAACCATCTATGGCCCAGTGCAGTGTGCCAACCTTCAGAATTTAAAATTTTAAGGTCCGAAAGTTACTTTTGTTCCTTTATATATTTTGCATTCAGATTTTAAAGGAGGTTCTATTTCTATCCAACCCAGGAAGTGGGCTGCTTATAGCTGACTTAACATAGGATGAAGGGGTCGATTTCATTCCACGAATCCTAATTTCTACAAGCTGATGCTCCGGGTAGGGCATATCTTTTTAAAAATAAATAAATAAACGATAGTTTAAATTAAAAGAAGAGGGAAGTTTCTCACACACATATTACCAAAGTGTTATTGAACTTCGAACTTAAAACTACTAGCTTGCAAATCAAGACCTTTTTTTCACCAAGCTAGACCTGGTTCGCCTGAATATGACATCCCTTTTAGAACATTGATTATGACACTACTATAATCCAAGTTAGATAATGGCGTATGCCCACAGCCCAAACTTCATGCTAAGTTAACCCAAATAATTCCCAAACTAGGAAGTTGAAGGACGCCCCCCACCCCGCCCCTCCCTACATACTACAAACCACATAGCATGTGTTTAGGGCTAGCCAGTCCAAAACATATCCCCCAGAATCTCAAGAAAATGCCATGTGGACCTTCCTTGAGGTCTTGTAATGTCCCACCGCAGGTTGCGTAGACCATTTTGGTCGTTGACTGGATAAATTTATGAGTGACGTGGCTGCAAGGGGCTAAGGCTACAAGTCGAGATCGGTCTGGGACCCACTCATATAACAGAAGGAAAAGACTTGAGCCTACCATCAGTCATCACCGTTGAAAAGTTTGCCGATCCAATGAGTTGGCCAGTCAAAGCTTGATCATGGACCGTCAATATCTGAGTGGCTGCCACAGTGAAGTTGGGACCCAACCCACAGTAAAGGTTGGGGACTAAACTGGCGAATTTTCCGGCGCAAATCGAAGAGTGAGAGAGAGATGGAATTGCGAATGTGCAAAATCAAAGGAAAATGGGTGAATTGCTTGGCTTGCTTATGAGTCATGACCCAGCCCCATGGCACTTTTTTAGGCTTTAGTTTTTAGCACCACTTTAACTGGAGATGGGGAAAGGGACAGTGACGAAACGGCACCAGTATGTTCTGTTTAGAAACGACGCCGTACGTCTGGACTGGATCCCACACTGAACACATTATCTAAAAAGCTACCCTTTTGCTGTTGCATCTTTTCTTTATGCTAGTATGGATATATTTTGCTGGCCTGGCCTTTCTCTTCTTCCTAAGCTTGATATTAGCATTACTTCAAAATTAAGCAAAGAGGCAGAAGGCTGAAAACTAAACATACTCATGTACATTAATGGCAAATTAGAGATAACCAACCAAGCCTTAAAATGTGACATTGCTAAAAGGAGCTGCTGTGCTAAGTGGAAATAACTTGATGCAAAACAGAGACAGAGATTACAAGATTAGAGATTAAAGTAAGAAATTAACTCTCTTTTTTTTTTTTTTTTTTCTTTTTTGTATACAGAGGAGGGAGCCATTACATTACATTACAAATCTCTGAACACCCACAGTAAAAGCATGAAGACAATCCAACACACCCATATGAAACTAAGAAAACAAAACCCAGAAGAGAAATGAAGTAGGTAGCTAGTGAGTGAGACATTAGTGATTAGTGTGTCCAAAATGGAGCTAGGGGGGACTCACAAAAGCAACTCCTCTTCCTCTGCCCTGCTGCTGGTCATCAATTAGGTACTTTTTTGCTATGTAATTAGGTCCTAGTCATTTTCTTCCTCTTCTTCTCTCTCTCTTAAAAATGAACAAAAAACTAGTATTTGAAGAAAGAAGAGAACCAATTTTCAGAGCCAGAGAGCCCCAGCCTCTTTGAGAAGAGGAACCAGAGTGCCATTGATGTGAGAGGCCATGACTCTGTCCATAGCACCCACAAGCTTTCCACCAATGAAGACCACAGGAACAGCAGAGGAGGTGCCCAAGAGCCTCATCAGGGCCCTCTCCAAGTCTTTGCCTCTTGGGTCTTCATCCAGCTCGTACACAGTTGGGTTGACGCCCATGCCACAAAACAGCCTCTTGATGGCATGGCACATGCAGCAGCTGCTCACGCTGAATATCACCACAGCGTTCTCTGAGGCCATCCTCTCTATGCGCTCCAGTGGGTCGCCGCCCATGCTACTTCTCGTGGGCATATAGGAGCCCCATGATTCTGTCTGGTACTGCATTGTGGTCAAAATCAAATATTAAAGAACAGAGTTGGTTTTTTTTTTTTGGGTAAAGAAACAGATAGCTAGAAACAGGGCTTGGCTAACTTATAACAAGTGTTTGAAATTGAGACAAGTACTGATGAGTGAGGAGTGAGATTGGTGAGGAATGGAGGAGGAGAGGGTTGGTATTTATAGAGCGTTTAAGTTGTCTAGTCTCTATGCCTATGGCCTATTGGTTCTACTTTGATTTTTTTTATAAATATTTTATTTGATGGGTAGTCTTGGAATAAAATATAAAAGTAGGGGTCTAATATTGTAGTCGTCAGCGCATGCAGGAGAGAAATGCAGGAGAGAAATAGATGGAGATCTTTTCCTCATGGTATAATGAAAACATGAGAGAAAGGTGTTGCACTCGAAATTTTGTATTCGAATTCTCATTTCTTGAATATAGTTTATATGCATGAAATTTATTTAATTTTTTTTAAAATATAAATGATATTTAAGGATGAAAAAATTAATTTAAATTTTTAGTACAAGAATAAATACTTTAAAATGAGATTTCTAGATCAATTAAATAATATATGGAATTAATGGGGCGTAGGAAAAGCTTTATAGAGAGGACATGAGACATAAAGCTCAGCTGCTCAGACTTTTTCAGAAGAGAGTTTGGGTAATAGACGGCTATGTCCGTCCTTGTTGTCGGCCCTACCTATCCCCTACTGCGCGATCAATTTAATTATCAATTAAAAAAAGCAAGAACGTGCCCATCACAAACCGTTGTTCCTTCTCTTGACGTAACCCTTCATGCGCATTTTTGGATTCTTAGTTTCATCCCTAAAAACCTTTGGGCTTTGCTCTCTCTCTCTCTCTCTCTCTCTCTCTCTCTCTCTCTAGCTCCTGCAACAAGCCCTACTACACTACCACTATCTTATTAGCTATTTAATTAACGGAATTGGTTTCAAATGTTATTTTGAGGATACAAAAAATCATGCTGTCGTTCCTTTTGGACAATTGCCTCAAAAGGGTTTTTTTAAGACATTTTATATTGAGATGGTAAATAATATACTAAACGTGACACGCAACAAGGATACTAGGATCCGAATCCAACATCTTGCTCAAATGAGCAATTACTTTAAATTATTTCATATGTCCAAAAACAAAAATATATAGTCTTCTTCTTGTTCTATTTTACATGTGAGGGGATGGGGATGGGGATTCATTACTAGTTATTATTATATATAAGTATAATTTGTATATGCTAGCTTATCTGTTTGAGTATATCTTTTTCAGTTAAGAGATACCTGCTGCCAAATTGTTCTCCAGAATGTTTTTATATGGAATATCTTATTTATCTCCCATCCCATCGATGTATGGATAAAGGAAAAGTTCAATTTTACATTGGTTTGGGAAAACGGATACTGTGATACGTACATTCTATTTCTGAATATAAAGTTACAAACAGAAATTAACAGGTAAAAATGCATATATCAATCTTGTGCTAACTAAAGTTAAGAGAATATTAGAAGGGATAATGAGATCAAGTGCCTTGGCTTTCAATTTGTAATGAATAAAATGATGTAGTTGCAGCAGGTGGGGCACATGCATGCTTGGCTCCATGGCTCACAGCACGCATGCTTAGACATGTATGCAGCATGTCCTCTGTGCGTGGCAGTAACTTTTTCATTATTCAGGGTTTCATATATAAAGCATTTCCTGGTCAATTGCCAGTACTAATTAATAAATATTAAAGATATATAAGGGTAGACCAAAGCAAACCCAGAGAGAGAGAGAGAGAGAGTGAGAGAGAGAGTAAAATAAAAGCAAGTGATGGAGTCCGTACATGCAGAGATGTTCCTTTTAACAGGAAAAAAAGAAGGGTTTTGTGCTTTTGGCAGACGGAAGAGATGGTGCAGTGCAGGCACTGAGGCAATTAAGGGTATGTCTTGGGCGAGAAGGGAAGGAAGGATGCCCTAATAAAAGCGAGAGGCCTGGGCGAAGAAAAAGAAATTGATATTATTCGATTGTGCTTGTCACTTTTCACCCTCTTTAATTAATTTTCTGCCTCTTATTTGACGAACATATAATCTCCAATTTAATTATATATGATCGAAAAAGTAAGCCCGTGAATCTCCTTTTTGATGAAGATGTACCGTGCACGTACGTGTTTTAGTTTTTTTAGATGAGACTTTATAGTTGGGCAGACAGTTGATCAGGATCAGAGCCTGGTATTTTCATTTTGAGATCATGCATGTATGTGTAATAATGTGTATGTATGGTCAAAGCTCAAACCCCATGGTTTGAACAGACAAACGAAATAACCCAGATAAGAATAGAATCATGGCCGTGGGAGGATTGTGATGTATGTAGTATTCAAAGCTGAAGAGATCCGACGGTGGGGGTGTAGTGTAGGAGCTTAGTGTGTACTTTTGATTCTTGGGAATCTCTTTGTTTTCTTTTCCGTGGAGAGAGAACATCAAGAAAGAAAGAAAGAAAGAAAATTAAAACCCATTAATTTCAATCGTACAAAGTTTTGCGTTGGGCAGCAGAACAGGGAGGGAGGGAGGGATAAAGGTGTTGGCTTTATATGTACAAGTGAGCTAGCGTGATCAAATCCTCAGCTGTTGAATTGTCGCAATGTACGTAATGTTTATCTTCTTCTGTATCTGATCAGATATGAGTTTTTTGCCATTTAGAGTGGAACAGGCAGAGAAAAAACAAAACGGGAGTGCGTTAGAGTAGCCCAAATGAGGTGTGGGAGTGTCCATTTATAAGTTTATCTGTCTGAAGCTGCTGCTAGCTGGTAGCTGCCGAGGCACGTAATTATGGAAAAGCTTCTCGTCTTTTTTTGGTCATAATGGAAAAGCTTCTTTATATGCTTCAGCAACTCGTACCAATTAATTGTCCCCGCTCCAGTAATATTCCTGTAGTTGAGTTTCTTTATGCTAAAGTTGTAGCGATCAGAGTTAATCTATATCATGGTTGCTGATGTAAATATTTATATTACCCCAAGAACAAAGTTGCTGATCTAATTAAGCACGTGAGATTATAATAATTTGGGATAAATTCAAAGTTATAAGAATAGTTGGATGTGATCCTCGTATTATGTCTAATTCCTTTGTTAGGAGGCTTACTAATTTTTTTTTAATTTATTTGTTCCCTTTAGGATGCGGTGGAACAATTTTCCACAGGGCAAGTGTTTTGGATCCATCTTGATATACCCTAAGTTTAAGGGTGTGCTTCAAACTTAAAAAGAGAAACATCAATGGAGGATGTCATGTCTCGCTTGTTTGAAGTCCCTGGAATTATATCAGCTGGTTGGTGGTAAACAAATTTAAACATGAACACTGTTATAATAATTAGGGATGAACAGAGTCTATGGGCCCCCTGGGCAGGGCACGGCAGGGGCAGCATGAAGAAGAAACTTTGATGGAAAATTAGGTGCGAGCATGCAACTGTTGGACCAAACATTTGGTTTGTTTGGCATGCACAGTTGCACAGATGCACAGATGCACAGTTGCACAGTTGCACAGTTGCACAGTTGCACTTGCCCTGTAGCCTGTATATGAGTAATATGATATGAGGATGAGGATGAGGAGGGAGGACGATGATGATGTATTTTGTTGAGCAAAGTCTGACGCAAACTCAAATTCTCCTTTTTAAAAATTTTAAAACACGACAACACCAAACCAATGCTACTGCCTACTTCATAGAATACTGAATAGCCCATAGCTCCTTGAGCCGTTAAAGCGAAACGACATGACGGCTTTTCTCAGCCTTTGTTGCGAACCAGCTGACGTTAGCCCAACGTTGACTGCTTTTTCTCTAAACTTTTACTGCCATCTAGCCTCCTGTTTGTCGCTTTCACTTTCGACAACCACGCTTTATTTACTCATTTTTTTAATATAATATTAAACTAATGACATGATCAGTTAGTTCATACATAATTAAAAACTTAGCTGGGTATTTATTTGGTAATGTGTTCTACTTTATGGACATTGATAGAATAACTGGTTAGGAGGCTTCAAATATCAAGGCTGTTTTGTTCTTTCTTCTTTTTAGGAATTTGAGCGCGCGCTCTCTGTGTTCTTTGTTAGTGTGTTTAGAACAAAACTGAATATTTAAATGGTTTTAATTTGCAGTTGAATGAATGAATGAAGAGGAAGTCTGGTTTTGGTATATGAGAGGGGATCTGTCGGTGGTTTTGTCTTCTCTCTCTCTCACTCTCACTCTCACTCAGCTTTGTGTTGTGTCGTCTGTGTTCCAACTTCCAACAGTGGCTTAGTTTAGTACTCAACTGTCACACGGCAACGCGTGTCTCCAACTCTTCTGTCCTTGGTGCCTGATTGGGTGCCTCAAATCACTTATTCCTAACTCTAATCACAGATTTCTTAAACAAACATGTATTAATTCATCATCTTATCTTATTGAGTTTGTTTAAGATAAATATAACGAGTCTTATTATTTTCATCATCTTAGTCTCCATGCAGAATCCATATCAGTTAACCAAGCAAACAAACCAAGACGGTTTGCTAATTACTATGACTCTAACCATTTGTTACGTATTTTCAAGATTTTTCTAGCATTAACAAATTGTTTGTCGTTTGCAAACGTCTTTGCTCTTGGCCATATGCTATGTGGGGCCGGAGAGAGAGGGGCGGAGTTAGATTCCTCTAGTACGCAGGACTTCACTCTTGTCTTGGGAGACAAAGTTATGTTGAAAAATAACGAAACATGTGAACAACCAATAACGTATTTGTGAAATTCAAACTTCTACTTTAGACTTGAATAATGAATACAACTTAAATAGCAAACTAAACAAAATAATAGGAACAACTACCCCACGATTAAACCATGACTTCATGACTACTTAGACTCTCCTATTCATTAGCAACTAAACTACTAAGTCCCTAAAGAATAGAATTTCCACAATTTAACCAGATAAACATAAACATAATAAATAGAATAATAAATATTCTTAACAAGTTGGGCACTATGTTATGTTATGTTCCGTCTGTGTGTTTTTATTTATTTACATAAAGCATTATTCGGGTTGTATGAGTAACTGACTTTTAATGATTTAAGCTACAAGCCCCTCGTTGTATGTCATGGTTGTTCGATTACATCTCTTCCAATTCTAGGTTGAAA